GGGGTGTAATTTCCAAACTTTCTCAATTTTAGAATTGCAGGTAAGAAATGTATCTCTTTGACTTACTAGAGCTTGTTAAAAGCAATATAGAGATTTGCATTTATAGCTGAATGACACTTTCCTTGCTGTCCTCTTCCCCAGGTCATGAACCTCAGCTGCTCCTTGTGGCAAGACAACAGCCCATCTGTCAAGCACTTTGCATTTGCCAAGTTCTCTGTGGTCACTGAACAGTGTTTCTTTTTATTCACCCTCATCCTACTCATGTTTTTAGCATCCCTCACAGGCAATGCCCTCATAGCCCTTGCCATCTGGACCAACCTGGTCCTCCACATGCCCATGTATTTCTTCCTGGCCAACCTGTCTCTCTTAGAGATTGGCTACACATGCTCAGTCATACCCAAGATGCTACAGAGCCTTGTGAGTGAGGCCCGGGGAATCTCCCGGGAAGGGTGTGCTACACAGATGTTTTTCTTCATGTTATTTGCTATCAGTGAATGCTGTCTTTTGGAAGCCATGGCTTTTGACTGCTACATGGCCATATGTTCCCCACTCCACTATGCAATGCGAATGAGCCATGGGGTGTGTGCCCAGTTGGCAGTCATTTCCTGGGGAGTGGGTTGCATGGTAGGCTTGGGCCAGACCAACTATATTTTTTCCTTGAACTTCTGTGGCCCCTGTGAAATAGACCACTTCTTCTGTGACCTCCCCCCTATCCTGGCTCTTGCCTGTGGTGATACATCCCATAATGAGACTGTGGTCTTTGTCGTGGCCATTCTTTGCATTTCCAGCCCATTTTTACTAATGGTTGCTTCCTATGGCAGAATCCTAGCTGCTGTGCTGATTATGCCCTCACCGGAAGGCCACCATAAAGTTCTTTCCACCTGTTCTTCCCACCTGCTTGTAGTGACGCTCTTCTATGGCTCTGGGTCTGTCACCTACTTGAGACCCAAGGCCAGCCATTCACCAAGAATAGATAAACTCCTAGCTTTGTTCTACACAGTGGTGACATCCATGCTCAATCCCATCATCTACAGTTTATGGAACAAGGAGGTCAGGGCAGCTCTCCGGAGAACCCTGGATAAGAAAAAAGTTTTGATTCATGGGTAGATCCCAGAGGACCATGCGAATCTGCTCTTTGAAAAGATGCACACACAACCCAAGAGTAAAGAAAGAAACAAAAACCAAGCTCTCTGCAACCTATTTTGTAAGGACCTTCTTTAATTTTGGAGAAACCTCTGTACTCACAGTCAAACTTCTGATTGCCAAATTCTGGAAGGAAGTTGGCTACCAAAGAATTTTAATAGGTGCGTCCAATATTAGACAGATTTTCCAAAATACGTCAGTCCAGGCTTGCTGTATAGATTGCCAGATTACATCTCAGAAGTCTAGCAAATTCTCATTCTGTACTCTTAGGCATTTTATAGCCCCTGAGGGTCTCATCTGACCCTGCCCTGGTCTCTGGGGGAAGTGTTCCCACATATGTCTGTCCCACATTACTCTCAATTCCCTAATAATTCCATGGAGCACATTATTTCCTTCCATAAAAAATGTTTTAAACACTTCAACCTTAATTATTGTTACATGATATAGAATTAATTCTTTCTGTGAGTTGTGTGTACTATAACAATATTTAAATATGCAAATAAAGCAAACACATTTCAGAGGTATTTTTTGCAGAATATTAAAAGAAAAAAGTAGGAATTTTTATCAAAAGCCTCCATGGTGAAAATGTTTTTAGAAAGAAAAGCATATTTAAATTCAAGGATAGAAGGAGAAAAACAAACTAAAAATAATTAACATAAATAATTTAAAAGATTTTTATATAATTTACAAAATTTGCATATGTGCAAATGAATTCTGACTCCATATTTTTGAAAATTATCCATACACTTGCTCTGAAGAGAAATGAGCTGTAGGCATCTGGAGAGGCATTTCCTGGGATGTGAGCACTTAGTTCTCAGGGAGGTGTTGTGGGGTATGAGGGGTTGGTAACTATTCATGTAGTAACTGTAATGGGACAGAGAGGAGGTCTGTGACTTAAACACTGTGTATGATGAATAGTCCTGGGTGTAATGAACTGCCTGGTCTAGTTAGTGATGCTGTATTATGCCCTTGACATGTGCTGAGAGAGTAGATCTCAAGTGTTCTCACCACATACACAATTGTTTGAGTTGAGGGATGTGTTAATAACTTGATTGTGCTAATCAATTCACAATACATATGTGTATCAAATCATCACATCATATACCTTAAAGACATGCAGTTTTACTTGAGATAATAAATCTCAATTAGCTGGAAAAGATCAGAAAATATCTGTATTTATTTGGACAATTTAGCCATTTAGATTTATGTAATTTATACAATATAATTTATAATTTATATAATTGCTGGAGTTGGTAGTTACTATTTTTCTATGTGATTTCCATTTGATTTATTGCTTGCCTTTTTTTCTATTGCAATTATATTTTTATAATTAATCAAATGGCTTTATGATGACACTTTCCTCACCATCAAGCTTGTTAGCAATACATTAGTGATGGGGTTTTGGAATATAGGTGAGGTTCAGTGGGGTGGAGTCCGGAGCTGATGACTAAGAAAGAATTCTTGAGACATCTTTGGTGCAAAATGGTGGTTTATTAAAACACGGAGACAGGACCTGTGGGCAGAAGGAGCTGCTGCACCAGGGTTGTGAGGGGTGGCTGATTATATACTATGGGGCTGGGGGAGGTAAGGAAAAAGGGAGGCTTCTGAAACAACTTTTATATGCTAAAGAAGACTCACAGGATACCCGAGGCCTTGCCATTGTCACGTTAAGGTTGTTTACCCCTCTAGTAAGGCATTGACATTAAGATAGTTGGGAACATCCTGGAGGAACATTACAGTCTACCCACTTCAAGTATTTGTCGATGGGCTGCCAGTTATAAAGACCTTTAATTGTATTTACATTCCCTTCTGGAAGCTATTGCTAGGGCTTTTGTAAGTAAACTGAGGGAAACTTGGGTCTTGCAGGACTGTGATCTCTACAAGTTAACTATTTGTTTTTCTTTTAGGGCAGCAGGAGTGCCTGAGGAATGTCATATATATCCCATGGTGGGGGGGGGTTGTGGGGTGTCAGATTCTGCTTTGTCCTCAGCTTGCCTTCTGTTCCCTCATCATTAGTGTAGTGCTTTTCCCAATCAATTTGTTTTCTCCATGAAATGATTTTGAGTGATTTCCAATCTATGTTGTTAAATTAAAAAAAAAAAAGCCTTAAGAGAGACAGGGCTAAATCTTTCAGAACTACCAGGCGAAAATGACAAACCAATGATTTTAAAGAACTTTTTTCAGATTATATTCACTGATCATGTTGCAGAAAAATAAAAATCAGACCAGTGAGAGACCAAGTGACACTTGGGGAAGTAGGAGACCTCGGATTTATTTTTTGCCGGTTGACCCAGATGAGCTTGTACTCGAAGTTCTGGGCCCCAGGCAATGGGGTTATAAGGCTTTTATAGGGGAATGTAGGCCATCAAGTTCCCAGGGCTATGCTGACTCCTGGTAGGTGGATTTAAACTGGGGGAGTGGGGGCTGCTTTAGGCGGGGACAGTAGACAGGGAGCCTGTGGTGGGAAGCCTGTTTACAGAAGCAGACACGGCTGGTTACCTCTTGCTCTCAGGAGGGCTTTTGGTTATCTCTAGCTTATTGTTAGTAACTTTCCATCTTCTGGGGCCTCTTGGCCTGGGCCTGCTCTGGGTAATTTTCCTCTTCAATCACACAGAATAAAATAAGAAATCAAGGGCGCCTGGGTGGCTCAGATGGTTAAGCGTCTGCCTTTGGCTCAGGTCATGATCCCAGGGTCCTGGGATCGAGTCCCGCATCGGGCCCCTGCTCCTTGGGAGCCTGCTTCTCCCTCTGCCTCTCTCTCTCTCTCTCTCTCTCTCTGTCTCTCATGAATAAATAAATAAAATCTTAAAAAAAAAAATAAGAAATCAATAACAAAATAATAGCCAAAAAAAAAGATAGCGTTCCCAAAATCATAGTCAAACATCCCATGAGTTTAGCTTCTACAAACCACATTCCTAAATAATTTCAAGTTACAGAATCAATAGAAATTAAATTTACAAAATATTTATAACTAAATTTCAACAAAAATACAAATAAAAATGTGTGGCTTGAAACAGTACTGATGTAGCTTTAGAATGTAAGTGAGGTCCGGAACCGACAACCAAGAAAGAATTCTTGAGGCATCTTTGGTGCAAAATGGTGGTTTATTAAAGCATGGGGACAGGACCTGTGTGTAGAAAGAGCTGCTGCCCTGTGCTCTTGAGGAGTGGCTGATTATATACTCAGGATTTGGGGAGGTGAGGACAAAGGGGGTGTCCAGAAGGACTGTAATATGTTAAAGACTCTCAGGATACTGGAGGTCTGGTTATTGTCAAGCCAAGACCATTTCCCCCTCTAATGAGGCACTAACATGAAGACAATTAGGAGTTTCCTGGAGGAATGTTACATTCCTCCTATCACATGTCCTTGTCAATGGGCTTCAGGTTCAAAAGAAATCCAATTTTATTTACATTAAATGAAACTGGACCATTTCCTTACACCACATACAAAAATAGACTCCAAATGGATCAAAGACCTAAATGTGAAACAGGAACCTATCAAAATCCAAAAGGAGAACACGGGCAGCAATCTCTTCTACATCAGCTGCAGCAACTTCTTGCTGGACGTGTCTCTAAAGGCAAGGGGGAAAAAAAGCAAAAATGAACTTTTGGTACTTCATCAAGATAAAAAGCCTTTTCACAGCAAAGGAAACAGTCAACAAAACTAAAAGGCAACCTATGGAATGGGGGAAAATATTTGCAAATGACATATCAGATAAGGATCTAATATCTAAAATCTATAAAGAACTTATCAAACTCAAAACCCAAAGAACAAATAATCCAATCAAGAAATGGGCAGAAGACATGAACAGACATCTCTCCAAGGAAGACATACAAATGGCCAACAGACAGGAACTAAGATGGCAGCGGTGGCCCGGCTGGGATGGGGAGCTGCGGCTGCTGCCGCGGGGCTGCGTAGGCGATTCTGTCCTATGATGAATCCATACACCGTTAAGAAACGGCTTCTGCATCATTTTGTACAAAGACCACTTTTCCAACTGCCTGCAACCTTATGTAACACAGTGAGACACAAGTTTATTCAAACACAAGATACCCCCAATCCCAACAGTTTAAAGTTTATTCCAGGAAAACCAGTTCTTGAGACAAGGACCATGGATTTTCCCACACCAGCTGCAGCATTTCGCTCCCCTCTGGCTAGGCAGTTATTTAGAATTGAAGGAGTAAAAAGTGTCTTTTTTGGACCAGATTTCATCACTGTTACAAAGGAAAGTGAAGAGTTAGACTGGAATTTACTGAAACCGGATATTTATGCAACAATCATGGATTTCTTTGCTTCTGGCTTACCCTTAGTTACTGAGGAAACATCTTCAGGAGAAGCAGGATCTGAAGAAGATGATGAAGTTGTGGCAATGATTAAGGAATTGTTAGATACTAGAATACGGCCAACCGTTCAGGAAGATGGAGGAGACGTTATCTATAAAGGCTTTGAAGATGGCATTGTACAGCTGAAACTCCAAGGTTCTTGCACCAGCTGCCCCAGTTCAATCATTACTCTGAAAAATGGAATTCAGAACATGCTGCAGTTTTATATTCCAGAAGTAGAGGGTGTAGAACAGGTTATGGATGATGAATCAGATGAAAAAGAAGCAAACTCACCTTAAAATAATTAGAATTTTCTTTGGGCCCAGCAGTTGGACTTATTGATAATATATACCAAGCTTTTATTGTTAATCTGCTAAGGAACTTGAGGATTAATAAAATATGCCCCTTTAAAAAAAAAAAAATGGCCAACAGACATAAAAAAATCCTCCACATCACTTGGCATCAGGGAAATACAAATCAAAACTACACACACACACACACACATACAAAGAGATACTAAATCACACCATTCAGAATGGCTAAAATTAACAAGTCAGAAAACCACAGATATTGGTGAGGATGCAGAGACAGGGGAACCCTCCCAAACTGTTGGTGGGAATGCAAGCTGGTGCAGGCACTCTGGAAAACAGTGTGGAGGTTCCTCAAACAGTTGAAAATAGAGCAACCCTATGATGCAGCAATTGCACTACTGGGTATTCACCCCAAAGATACTAATATAGTAATCCGAAGGGGCACCTACACCCCAATGTTTATAGCAGTAATGTCCACAATAGCCAAACTATGGAAAGAGCCCAGATGTCCATTAACAGATGAATGGATAAAAATATGTGGTATATATATATATATATATATATATATATATGCAATGGACAATTACACAGCCATCAAAAAATAAAATGGAATTTTGCCTTTTACAATGATGTGGATAGACCTAGAGGGTATTATGCTGAACTAAATAAGTCAATCAGAGAAAGACAATTATCATATGATCTCAATGATATGTGGAGTTTAAGAAACAAAACAGAGGATCATAGGGGAAGAAAGAAAAAATAAAACAAGACAAAACCAGAGAGAAAGACAAACCATAAGAGACTCTTAATCATAGGAAACAAACTGAGGGTTGCTGAAGGGTAGGGGGTGGGAAGGTGGGGTAACTGGGGGTTAGACATTAAGGAGGGCATGTGATGTAATGAGCACTGGGTATTACATAAGACCGATGAATCACTGACCTCTACCTCTGAAACCAATAATACATTATATGTTAATTAATTGAATTTAAATTTTTAAAAATGTTAAAAAAAAAGAGGTATTCCATGGGTAGTTACCAACCACACAAAATCACTTTCATGAAAATATGTAAAAACTAGTATATATACACAAGAATGTTTATTGCAACATTGTTGAAAATAAAAAAAATTGAAACAATATATTTAACTAAATAAAATGAGATATATGCATGTAATTAAATAATCTGAATACTTTTGTGAATAGTTCTTATGAAATTAGTATAAGTGATGCATATAGTTTAATATTATTTCTGTAAATTTAAAAACACTATTATTTTTTCTTTAAAATATTTTTAAATGTTTTTGGAAAAGTACAAACAAATAATCATACCTCTAGGTATGACTACTAAATATGTAAAGAATATATGGAAGATAGTAAAATTTTTCATCTTAGTGTGGACATAAGGATATCATTTTTATTAGTTTATTAATTCATTGCATATTTGAAGTTATAAGATTTTAAATGACTTAGGTAATCATATTGTTGGTTAGGTATTTGGCTATCTTAATTCTTCAATTAAAAAATTTTATTTCAATATGACCCCAGTTAATCAAATGTCAATCATATTCTATCTTATAAGCAGGGAAATACAAAAACAATACCTAAGGTACCTTATCAGTGTCTTCTTACTAGATCATGTTTTTCTTCTCCAATATGTTTTTTTATCACTCCATTCAAATTACTAAATTCTGCTAGAGTTATTTATCTTATTAAAATGATTCCTTAGAATTAATGCCCATTAGAAGCATTTGTTATTTACAAAGCCACATTTATAAAACAAAACATGTTGTAAATATGTCTAAGCAGGCTCTAGAATTAAAGCCAATAAGGATTTTGGTAATATTTTGTAAATCAATAACTATTGTGAATGTAGGGAAAATAAGGCCAATATTTTCAAATTTTAAAAACTACCAATATTTTCAAGTATGTTATTAGAATAGGTAAAAACTTTATATTCAATATAAAGAAAACAATTTTATAAATTCTATGCAATTATATTAAGGAGGGCACATGTTGTAATGAGCACTGGATGTTATACACACATAATGATTCATGAAACACCACATCAAAAACTAATGATGTATTGTATGATGACCAACATAACATAATAAAAAAATTCTATTCAGTTATAATATCCATCAGAAGGGATATCGTATATGACAAAGACAATCATTTTTATTTATAAATAAATCTGCTTACTTTAGTGAGATTTAAATATTCAGATTTAATGACAATACTTAAAATGTGTTTGCATATTTGTCTTAGATTCAGATATAGCACTAAAAGGTTGATCAAAGGAGATTGGGAGCTACTCTGTGGTGACAAGAGATGCATAATAGAGAATTATTCGGTCTCATGGCCCATTTTCCTTGGAGGATTTCTCTGTGGGTGGGAGAGATCAAAAAAATCCCAAATGTACTTAATCCCAGATGCTCTTCTGCATGCACAAGAATCAACAATACCCTACGTAAGGCAAACTGTCAGGTAGCTGTGGGTTTGCAGGGCCCTTGCACTATGGCAAGCTACAGACAGAGCACATGTTGCAGAGCCATGTCCTCAGGTAGACCCAGACTGACCCAGCTGTGACCAGAGCTCTCCCTCCAGAAGCTGGAAGATTTACTTCTGTGATGAGACACTAGATTTGCCATAATTGCTTGGGTATGGCATTAGTTAATTACTAGAGTGATAACTCCAAAATTTATGAAGTATAATTCAGATATGCATGCACATACCTATAAACATTTATTTACGTACTCATAGAATCTTTACAAAATAGCCAGAAAAAGAGGCATGACATTTTCAGAAGGGAGGATAAGAAGGGTTTAGAATAGTAACCTCAGGATGCCATTGAAAGGAAAAGTCACACCTATTTTATTTAGGAGATTAAGCTGTGAACCTTATAAATGTGATGAGAAGCAATAATTAGATGATGTTAAAAGTCCTCAGTCTCTGGGGGATTGCATGAGTATATCTCACATTTCCCCCTGATGGGGGTCTCTTCTGAGCAATCTTCTCAGAACCCACTTAACCTCTTTGTTTCTCAAGGTGTAAATCAAAGGATTAAGCGAGGGTGTCACTACAGTATAGAAAAGGGTGAGGAATTTACTGTGGTTCTGTGTGTACTTGCTCTTGGGTTGGATGTAGACAAAAATTATAGTCCCAAAGAACAAAACAACAACAAGGAGGTGGGACCCACAGGTCCCAAATGCTTTCCTCCTGCCTTCCGTGGACTTTGTCCTCAGCACACTCCTAGCAATGCAGCCATAGGAGACCAGAATAAGCCCTAGAGGTATAACCATGTAGAGGACAATTGCTATGGAGAGCTCATTTTCCAGGAAGGTTGTGTTCACACAGGTGATTTTAATCAGAACAGGCTCCTCGCACATAAAATCATCCACTCTGTGGTGGCTGCAGAGAGGCAACTGGAAAACAAGGAGGGTCTGAACCATGGATTCCACAAAACCACTGATCCAGGCCACAGCTGCAAGGTGCCAGAGAAGCTTTGGGTGCATGATAACACCATAGTGGAGTGGTCGGCAGATGGCATTGAAGTGGTCGTAGGCCATCACAGTGAGGAGGATGCACTCTGTGGAGCCCAGCCCCAATGCAACATAGAGCTGGATCACACACCCAGTGTAGCTGATGGTCTTCTCAGGGCCCTTGAGATTCCACAGCATCTGTGGAACGATGTTGGTGGTGAAGCAGAGGTCCGGGAAAGAGAGATTAGACAGAAAGAAGTACATGGGCTTATGGAGCTTGGGGTTCAAGTAAGAGACCAGTATGATTGCTGTGTTCCCCACCAGTGTCAGAACATATATGATAGAGACAACCAGAAGGAGGATCGTCTCCAACTGGGACTGGTCAGAAAAACCGAGCAAAATAAAACCTGCTGCACTGCTAAAATTTGTCCCTTTCACTCCTTCTTAATTGTGAGTCACCTTTCTTTGTCATTCCTGTTCTATTCCTATGGGAAGAAAATGAGATATCATAACCATTGGAAAAATAACAAACTGAGTAAAATGGGCATTTGGACACTGGAATTATATATAGAGAAAGAACAGACAAGGATAAAATTATGCAAAATAAAAAATATAATAAGTTGACTTGTTAGGTAGACAAAGACAAAACCCATAGTCATGAAAATATTAAATGCATTGAAAGGGAATATACAAACATAGAATAGACATTACAATCATATACTGAAACAGATTTGAACTGTATGTCAAACTTTCTGAAGATAAAATGCATAGACCATCAATGCACATACTGTGAAAAAGCAAAGAAATTAAACAGATGATTGTTTTATATTTTTAGATAAATGATAGACAATAGATGTAACAGATAAATTGAAAGATACATCTAGTAAGCAAGGATCTGAGAGAGAATGTGTACAGAACTGGAGACACAGATTAGTTAGAATTTCCATATAGGAACAGCTAGACATCATTACGATTAATATTCATTCTTTTTCCATGAAGCAAATAATGACTGACCTGATAATAGCATTAAGGAGAACTTCTGTGATCTCCCTATTTGAGTCGAGGTCTACTGTCTTTATGAATATTGCTTCCTAGAAAAATGTCATTCATGATCCCCTGCAAGCAAGCTCTCTCCACAGAGACATATACTTTAATATGCTTTCATTACAAGAGGACGTGAATTTGGCCATCTAATGCAATCCACTGACACTTCATAAAGTAAATTGTGTAAGATTCATCAGTGTCCTCTAAACTATTAGCTTGCATAGATCAGGAAATGTAGTTATAAACATTTGTCCCTCTGAATGGTCAGCTCTGGGGTTTCCAAAATGACTGTGGTAGATGGATTACCTGTGGGGTCAAATCTGAACAACTTTCTTACAAATAAAAAAACTAATAAAAAAACTAAAAATCTCCAATGAAAATTTCTGATTTTCTCTTAAATATCTTGACTAGAAAATAAAAACGTATTTCTAAGAGCCCTCAGCCCTCATACCTGGTCTCAGGTAATCATTACATAATCCAGTTTAAAGGGATTAAGTTGTTTATTTTCCTCTGCATTCATGGCAGCAATCAGTTGCATTTCGAACTTTTGTTGAGATGAAACCATTATGTGTTTCCAGTAGAGGACAACCCTTTTTCCAGAATTGTAACAACAGAAGGAAACTGATACTGGTGGTCACACCCTTTAGCATTTTTCTCCCTGACCAAGTACTTTGGTGCTAAAATCAAATCCTAAATGCCGTGATGCCCCTGAAACTGACCGTGGCTTCAGCTGTTGAAGCCCATACAGTAAGGAGGGAAAGTAGGAGCTGCTGTGTGTCTATGAGAAAGACAGCGGGTGAGTGGCCTCACTTTGCTTGATACAACTCTCCACCATCATGTTTTCCTGGGGTATTTCTGTTCCAAGAATAACCATTATTTTCCAAGGAGAATCCACAATGAAACTCTGCTTTCACATTTCTGTTAACCAAGATGCTGATGAGGGGATTTACAACTGCAAAAAGAAGGAGCTAGTCACTTTTCTATGGCTAAAAATATAGTAAATGTTGGACCACATTCACATCTGATTCTGTTCACTGCTAAAGAGAACCAGCTCTAGATTCCCTCCACTTTTAAAATAAATTTCCTTTATTTTTTCCATACATGAGGAAAAAATCCCCACCTTCTAGAAGAGTGACCATCCAGCTGTAGCAGCTCTTGGTGGTTGTGATGAAAAATTCAACCCCGATCACAGATCTGGGACAGGCAGTGGAGAAACCACATTGGGCAGTCTGTCAACTCAGCCTTTCTGCAGGTGGATGGAGGTTGGCTTGTTCACTCAGCACACATCTCTGGAGCTCCAGATGGCTTACCGTCTATATCAGACATAGAGGCAGGTCTCTGGAGAGAGAAGAGCCTCAGGGGCTTGTGCTTCTGTTTCACTGGAAGACAACTGATTGTATGCCACCTTCTGAACACACACACGGGTACATACACACACACTTTGTTATAAAGGTACCCATAACAGGTGTCTCTGTTATCATAATGGCTACCTCTGTCATCAGAGACAGGATGGCAGATGGAGGAGCAGTCAGAACATACTTCAGCTCTACTCATCGTGTACTGTGCAAGGCCAGGAAAGCCACTCACTTACTTTCTATGACATGGGTTGGTGTCTCCTTGCTGACACCAAGGTCGTCAGACTCCTGGGATTCTACAGGATGGGAAATGGGGCTATTTGACTGTGAACATATTTTTTCCTCCAGGAAAGGTGAAGAATGACCCTAAAGACAATTTGGAGATCAGCGGGGCTGCCCCTCCCACCACAGGCCTGGAGGAGGGCGGCAAGGCTGTCACCTCTGCAGTCTCAAAGAGGGGAACCAGCTCTGTGGTGGACATTGTCCAGTCAAGGGGGCAACACGGCAGACACAGGGGCTGAGCACTGATGCCTCAGCCAACCTAGAGGCCAGAGCATCAAGAAATATAGGATCATTCGAACACTTACATTTGATTGGAATTTGTCTTTTGTTTCCTTGGGCACTCAAGCACTGTAAATAGGTGGTGTAAACCATCTTTGAAACCATAAAGAAAGCAATGAAGTTGGAAAACTTTCTGCTTCCTTTGCTTGCAATAGTATTATTCCCGAGGACAGGATTGCATTTATATTTGCATTTTAGAATGTGTTGATCTATTCATGTCATGATTACATGGACATGATTGCTATTAAATATAAAACTTAGGGGCTGGGAGCAAGATGGCGGAGGAGTAGGAGACCTGGATTTTGTCTGGTCTCAGGAATTCAACTGAATAGGGATCAAACCATTCTGAACACCTACGAACTCAACAGGAGATTGAAGAAAAAAATAGCAAC